AAAAAAAAAAAAAAAAAAAAAAAAGAAGTTCAGAGGAGCAGAGGGAGAGAGGATGGTAGTCCTGGGGGAGCGGGGCCGTGGGCTGAAGTCTGACGTTGTTTTACCTTCTTCCAACTCAAAAAAAAAATGACCCAAAATACAGAGATGTTAAGATCAAAAATGTCTCCCCCTTCTCTGGTTCTGAGTTTTGTAACAGTGTCAGGCATGTGCTGTGGATCTTTTCAACACAATTCTTTCTATACATGCAAATCTGCACATACGCTCCCCTAAGACACCTGCAGAGGGTGCGGGGACGCTCTCATCACATTCTTAGGCCAGCTGCTCTTTATTTGCATTTGACAACATGCCACCCACCTGTGTCCAAGTCAATCCACGTGGATCATCCTGTTCTTCCTTTTAATCATTTATATTTTGCTTTATTGTTATTTTAAGATGGGTTCTCACTGTGTCTCCCAGGCTGGAGTGCCGTGGTGTGATCCTAGCTCACGGTAGTCTAAAACTCCTGGGCTCAAGTAAAACAGTCCTCCTGCCTCAGCCTCCATGTGGTTGGGACTACAGGTGCGCACCACCACACTCAGTTAATTTTTACTTTCTTTTTTTAGAGACGGGTCTTGCTATGTTGCCCAGGCTGGAGGGCAGTGGCTCCATTATAGCTCACTGCAGCCTTGAACTCCCAGGCTCAAGGAATCCTTCCACTTCCACCTCTCAGAGGACTAGGATGAGCCACTGAGCCTGGCCCTTACCCCCATTTTCCCCAGTGGTGGTCTGTAGAGGGAGTGGTCAGTACAGCCACCCTTTAGCCTAGGCGTTCATTTACAGGACACACTGGTGAGGGAGGACTCCAGGGGCGTGACGACAGAGTACTAGTCTCTTTTTTTTTTAAATTATGTTTTAAATTTATTTTATTATTATAATATATTTTTTGAGGCAGAGTGTTGCTCTGTCACCCAGGCTGGAGTGTAGTGGTGTGATCCCGGCTCACTACAGCCTCTGTCTCCCAGGTTCAAGGGATTCTCCTGCCTCAGCCTCCCAAGTAGCTGGGGCTACAGGTGTGTGCCACCATGCCCTGCTAATTTTTGTATTTTTAGTAGAGATGGGGCTTCTCCAGGTTGGCCAGGCTGGTCTCAAACTCCTGACCTCAGGTGATTTACCCACCTTTGCCTCCCAAAGCGCTGGATTGCAGGCGTGAGCCACGGCGCCCAGACTTTTTTTTTTTTTAATAGCATCTCTGGACCAGGGGTTCTCAGCCATTGTTGCTGATCAAGCCATTGTTCCTGGGCAAGGGCAAGGCCTGGGTTCTGGGACACAGGTGGACCCTGAGTCTGTCTTTGGATGTGCTCGGGCTGGGAGCTGGAACCCCTGTGAGCAAAGGAAGCCTTGTAGGAGGAGATGGCCCTTCTCAACCCAAGCCCAAGCCTCATGGAGAAGATCCAGGTTTGGGGACACATGCTTGGGTTCTGTGCCTCTGCCTCTACCCTGCCTTGATCACTGGGTGTGATTACTGGATGAGGCTCTCTTTGCCCGCTCTGGGCTTTGGTTTCCATGTCTGTGCAGTGTGGGATGGGTGGAGTGATCCCTGATAAGGGAGTCAGCATTTGGTGTGTTTTTTTTTGTTTGTTTTCTGAGACAGGTCTGGCTGTTGCTCAGGCTGGAGTGTGGTGGCTTGATCTCAGCTCACTGCAGCCTCTGCCTCCCAGGTTCAAATGATTCTTGTGCCTCAATCTCCCGACTGGCTGGGACTACAGGCATCCACCACCATGCCCAGCTAATTTTTGTATTTTTAGTAGAGACAGGGTTTTGCCATGTTGGCCAGGCTGGTCTCCAACTCCTGACCTCAAGCGATTCTCTTGCTTTGGCCTCCCAAAGTGCTGGGATTACAGGTGTCAGCCACCGTACCTGGCCAGGAGTCAGCATTTGGGGTTCCTTGATGCCAGGCCTTGTTCCTGAATGCCCAGGTGGGAGGTGGGGTGGGGCAGAAGGAGGGGCCCCTGTCTATGTGGCCTCGCCAATAAGGCCCTACACTGGTTGACTTCTGGCTCCCCATATTCCCCGTCCTGGAGTTATTGCTGCCTTTGCAAAGTCTCTTCTAGGACTTGAAGTCTTCCTGGCCTTCCAAGGTCCCTGGCATCCCGGGAGAAGGGAGAAGGGCAGAGTCTGCCCCGGCTGCCACTCACAACGGCAGGCACAGCAGAGGCCTTGGGGTCAGAGAGCCTTGGGCTTGGATTCTGGAGGCACAGCCTCTTGGCTGTGTAACATTGGGCAAGTTCCTGAACCCTGTGAGCCTCGGTTTCCCCTCCTGGGATCAGGGCATAATCACAGCATGCTGAATGTCACAGGGTTGTGGCCTGGTCTGTGCACGTTCAATCCCCACTCAGGGCTGGCATGGGAGGCTCTTGGGACCCCCATCCCCGTCTCCCAGGCCTGCTGCCTTCCTAGGGGGCGGCCGCTTCTGAGGCCTGGGATGGGAGCAGTCAGTGCATCTGTCTCAGGCCTGTGAGTGTGGAGGGGCCCTGGCCTGCTGGAAGAAAACAGTGGTGGCCAGTGTCAGGGGGGTGGGGGGGCATGGGCAGGGTGGGGGCAGCTGGCTGCAAGGCCGGCCAGCAGCTTCACGCAATCTGTCTGCTATGCAGTCCCGAGCCTGGCCTGTATTTATTTATGCTGAGCGCGTATTTATATCAGTCCCTTTTTCATTAATAGGGCAGGAAATGGCTGGAATTGTTACTACCTGGCGGGCCAGGGGTCCCACTTCGCCAAGACACACAGGGCGCTGGCTGCCCCCCTCCC